TTCATTATTATTTTTAAAATAAACACTTAATTAAACCCTCTGATTAAAAATTTCTGATGGATATAATAAAAATTGAAGTAAACTATATTTAATGTAAATATAATATGAATATATATTTTTTAATTGTTACAGTTATTATTGGGATACAAATATCATTAAAACATTACTCATCAATTAATAAAACCCTAATAATAAAACATTTAACTTAATTTTAAATATTAAACATCAAATCTGAACTATAGTTTAATTGTATTTTTGATGAATTGCTTACTTCACATTACACACTTTACAGAAAAAGCAGGCAACACAAATACATACAGTGTATATTCAATTTATGTGAGTTTATGAGTGTAATGGTGTGGATTCAGGAGAAAAATCAGTGCACATTTGGTTCCTTTTATCTCTCAACACATCATTTTCATCCTGTAACACAGCAATAAACACGTCGTCTCGTTGTGTGTCAGTGTGTGTCGGCCCGCGGCTCTTTTGCGTTCAGATTCATTCACACGGTGTCATTTTATTAACATCTCAAACACATCACTGAAAACACACTCAGGTGGAGCTGTAAAACACCAGCAGTGCATGTTTACAGCATTACACTGACATATTTCCAACATTCACACACACCGAGATACTGATCAGGGGGAGAAATATACATTGACAACCAGAATCACATTTTTTCTAATGTTAGTTTGTTTAGCACATGCTTCAGTGAATCAAAATTATGCTTTTATTTAAATTACATCTAATTTAACCCTTGTGTACTGTTCAAATTGACTCTCGTTCGGTTACGTTGGTGTCTGTTTTTGCCCCATTAACTTCCATTATAAGCACTTTTTTTTTCAATTGCAAAGCCCTGACAGCATATAATCATGCATTCCTGATTGTTGCTGCTTTTCTCTGTTGGGTAGAGAGACGATTTGTCATTTTTACTGTTGATTATCAGTTGTCAGCTTTAACTTAACTTAACTTAACTTAACTTAACAACCTTACTTAGCCAAATAACTAATTAACTTAACTTAACCAAATAACTAATTAACTTAACTTAACCTAACTGAACATAACCTAACTTAGCCAAATAACTAAGTAACCTAACTTAACTTAGCCAAATAACAAATTAACTTAATTTCACTTAACCTAACTTAATTTTAACTTAACTTATCCAAATAAATAATTAACTTGACTTAACTCAATTTAATTTAGCCAGATAACTAATTAATTTAACTTAACTTAGCCCATTAACTAATTAACTTAACCTACTTAACTTAGCCAAAAAACTAATTATTTTAACTTAGCCAAACAACTAATTAGACTTACTTAACTTAGCCAAATAACTCATTCATTTAACTTAACTTAGCCCAATAACCAATTTACTTAACCTAACTTAGCCTAATAACTAACTAACTTAACTTACTTAACTTTGCCAAATAACTAATTAACTTAACTTAGCCAAATAACTGATTAACTTAACTTAATTTAGCAAAATACCAGATTAACTTAACTTAATTTAATTTAACTTAACTTGGCTAAATACCTAACTAAACTTACTTAACTTAGCCAAATATCTGATTAACTTAACTTAATTTAGCAAAATACCAGATTAACTTAACTTAATTTAATTTAACTTAACTTGGCTAAATACCTAACTAAACTTACTTAACTTAGCCAAATAACTGATTAACTTAACTTAATTTAGCAAAATACCAGATTAACTTAACTTAATTTAATTTAACTTAACTTGGCCAAATAACTAACTAAACTTACTTTACTTAGCCAAATAACTAATTAACTTAACCAAATAACTAACTAACTTAACTTAACCTAACTGAACATAACCTAACTTAGCCAAATAACTAAGTAACCTGACTTAACTTAGCCAAATAACAAATTAACTTAATTTGACTTAACCTAACTTAATTTTAACTTAACTTATCCAAATAAATAATTAACTTGACTTAACTTAGCCCAATAACTAATTAGCTTAACCTAACTTAGCCAAATACCTGATTAACTTAACTTGGCCAAACAACTAATTAGACTTACTTAACTTAGCCAAATAACTAATTCATTTAACTTAACTTAGCCCAATAACCAATTAACTTTACTTAACTTAGCCTAATAACTAATTAACTTAACTTAGCCAAATAACTGATTAACTTAACTTAATTAACAAAATACCAGATTAACTTAACTTAATTAAATTTAGCTTAACTTGGCCAAATAACTAACTAAACTTACTTAACTTAGCCAAATAACTAGTTAACTTAACTTAGCAAAAAAAAAATAGTTATCTTAATCTAACTTAGCCAAATAACTGATTAACTTAACTTAGCCAAAAAACTAACTTAACTTAACTAACTTAACCTAATTTAGCGAAAAAACTAAATAACTTATCTTACCTTAGCAAATTGCCTAATTAACTTAACTTAGTCAAATAACTGATTAACTCAATTTAACCTAACTTAATTTAACTTAACTTAGCAAAATAACCAATTAACTTAATTTAACAGAACTGAACTTAATTTAACTTTAACTTAACTTAGCCAAATAACAAAAAATAACAAATTAACTCAACTTTACTTTACTTAATTTAACCAAATAACTAACCAATTTAACTTAACTAACAAACCATAGTATATCAAAGATACTACACAGTTCAGCAAGTGATCAGTTAGTTTCCATTTGCACATGTCAAAAATCTCTAGTTTCTTACGTGTGTGTGTGTGTGTGTGTGTGTGTGTGTGTGTTTCTCTCCTAGATGAGTTCAAGTCATTCCTGAAGCGTCTGCCGGCGACACACTTCCTCCCAGTGAGCAGTGTTCATCTGCTGTGGGGCAGCGACTGGGATCTCCAGAACCGCTATCGGCTCCTGCAGAGCTCGCTGGAGGCCCAGAGACTGAAGATCCAGAGAACGGCACGAAAACTGTTCGGTCTGAGCGTCCGCTGCCACCATAACCCCAACCACCAGATGCCCAGAGAGAGGTCAGGAAAACACACACACACACTGATGCTCACAACACCTCGCACGCTACCTACCTACAAACAAAAACTACTGGCATACACTGACACACTCCAGCTATTAGCATTATAAAATCCCCCTTTACTGTAGTGCGAGTTGAGTGTTGCCTACTGAGTGAACACCGCTGAAATACTGCACACTGATGAGGGAAACCTAAATATTAACCCGAGTGTGTGATGAAGATGAGCTTGTTTCTTCATGCAGAATCGATTTGAGGATTGAAATTAAATTGATCTGCTTTATTTGAGAGGCTTTTGAAGGTGTGTGTGTGTGTGTGTGTGTTTGCATGTGTGTGTGATGACAGTATGAAAGTGTAGAAGTGGTTTGTCAGCTTTGACAAGGTCTGAACGCTATCAAAGCAGAGCAGTGGCGCGTCACTGGAACACACACACACATACACACACACACACACACACTGTCGACTTAGACTCTGCAGGTTGATTGAGAAACTGTGAACTTCAAAGTGCAGCGTTGTTTGTTGTGTTCGTGAGCATATGCAGACTTCAAAGCCAGAGCGGCTAGTTTAGCTAAATGATAGCAGCGCCCTGAATTAGCATGCTATTTGAATAAAGTAAGCAGCAGGGGAAAGCATTGGTCATGGTAAGCAGTCTCTGGGGGAAGTGTGTGTGTGTGAGTTACACAGCTCATCAAGAAACACACGCCACTGAAGCGTGAAGCTGCGCCATTCAGACGTTGCTGCAAAACACTCAAACACTGGGGGAAGCTCTGGGAATGATGCATTAAAACAGTCATTCATTCATTTACCTTCAGCTCAGTTTCTGTTTATCAGCGGTCACCACAGCGGAATGAACCACCAATAATTACAGTATATGCTTTACACAATGGATGCCCTTTCAGCTGCAGCCCTGTTCTGGGAATCACCCATACACTCTCATTCAGACACACACACACTCATACACTACGACCAATTTAGCTTTCAATCACTTAACGTGCATGTGTTTGGACCAGGGGCATTGCTAGAACCCCATTTACTGGGGCAAGTGTCCCAGTATAAATCACCGGTGATACATTGCAGGGGTGGCCAACCCTGTTCCTGGAGAGCCTCCTTCCTGCAGATTTCAGTTGCAACCTATATCAAACACACCTGCCTGTAATTATCACGTGGTGTTCATGTCCTAATTAACTGGTTCAGGTGTGTTTGATATGGGTTGCAACTGAAATCTGCAGGAAGGTGGCTCTCCAGGAACAGGGTTGGCCACCCCTGAGTTCA